TTCGTCGGGGGCGAGAACATGGGAAGAGTATGGAGGGGTTGAACCACCTCCACCTGTGAAGGCTCCACCGATCCTTCCGAAGGAGGTTCACATCGGCCAGCCGCCGATGGCAAAGCCTCCTCCGGTTTTGCCAAAATATGTGCAACATGCCCCGGACATCAACGCCAACTGCCGATCCGGGGGAGAAAATGTTTCTTGGAAGAAGCCACCCGCCTACTTGTCAGAAGAAAGTGGAGGCAAGGCTGCTGCACGTGGTGCCGCAGCAATGGGGACTTCATCTAAAAGTATGACTGCTTCAAAGGGCTATGGGGGTTCTTCATCGTGTCCAAGGTCTTTGGCATCTGGTTCAGGCACCGAAGCACATGGCGATGCCTCGTCCACCGGTTGAACCTGGTGAAGATCCACACAGAGGCTATGAGAATCCTTGGGAGCGGCCGCGTTGGCCCCAAACTCCACGGTTGATCCCTCCATATGGAGCTGAAGATGATCGACTGATCTTGCAGCCATCGGTGTGGTGGACACAGCTCTTGTTCGACAAGGTGCAGCTGCTGGTGGACGAGGAGGCGACGAAATTCCGACCAATTCCTCGTACGGACGCTTGGGACTACCTTCGCATTCCATCGGCCACGTGGTTGACCCGTCGACACGGCCTTCGAGTTCAAAGATTCCATCCAGAGCATCGATCGACGCCCGAGAACTTGAGATCGTTGGAGTATCTCAGGGTGACGGTGGCGTGGATCTTGGACCTGTCGACGATGACCTTCGGCAACCGGCTCATCTACGTGGATGCTGACTGGAGGAAGGATGGTTTGCCGAACACCCAAGGTCGGTGGTGCGGCTACAGCTTTTTGCTGGTCAAAGACCAGGTGGCGATCGTGCCCTGAAGTTGCGATGACCTTCGCAAGGGGGAGTGTGAGTCCAAAAAAGGGCATCTCCCTAGCTTGAAAACGACATCCATGCAACAACAATGTTGCACACGTTTGGCTCAAGAAAAACGAGCGCAGTTCAGCTCACATGGAAAGGATTCTATTAAAAGCAGAAAACAGTTTATTTTTATTCATCACTTTATGTCCGCATTGAATGCTCCATGCTGTTCCATGCTGGTCCACACTGTTTGGTTTTGGTCTTTGGTCTTGGAATTCATTAGACCAGAATGCATTTCAAGATCACAGTTAGAACTTCCCCTAGGAAATGGTTGGACCCAAGTCCCTTAGAAAAGGTATCATTTTCTAGTAGCACATGATTTAGTGTGTTGGTGGAGCGTTTGACAGTTTCTTTTATTTACTTTTTGTGTTTCTTTAATTTTTTTGCCTTTAGACAGGTAGCTGGTAAACTATTACTTTTTTGTCGTTTTTCTTCCTTTCCTTGTCAGGGTTTAAGTCTTGGACTTCACTCAGATCGTCTCCCAGGCCTTCGCCCACAAGGATGTAGCCTGCGAAGCTGCCACTTGGCAGGGCCTTTGAGCGCATGGCTGGCCACATGTGCCCCTTCACCAGGTGGGGAGGCTTCCACGTGTAGCCATGCTTGCTGTGCCTGAAGACCCTTCCAGGAGCGTGTGCAGCTCAATCACACACTCTAGCTGGTCAATCAGCACCTGAGTCACCTGGCAAGGGCTTCAAGGCAGGAATGTTTTGGATGTAAAACGCACATTGCTCCAAAGTAATGGGTTGGGTTCTTGCTGTCTTCTATTGCTGTGGCCTTAGCACATTCATCAGTTTCTGAGTTTCACATGAATCCACAATTCCCCAGCTGTTCAAATCGCCGTGCTTGACCCCAAGAGCCTTTGATCGAGCAATGGCGAAGACGAAAGCCATGAAAGCCATGAAAGCCTGGGCACTAAAGCCGTTCTCGGCCAAGGAAAAGGCTCCTTGGAAAGCTGCAGCTTTGGTCTTATTCATCATTTTTGGGACCAGCACTCTTCCCAAATACTTCTTCTTTTAACCAGGTTCGTCCGGTTTTGTTGAAATCGACAGCCAAGGCAGTTCAAAGCGTCCGAAAGGAGCTCAAGGTCAGAAAGAGAGAGCATCCTGCTCTTTTCATGCTTGGTGCAACAGGAAAGCATCTTTACGAAGCTGTGCAGGCTCAGAGAGCGCGAAGTGCATGAGTTAAATTGAAATGTTTCGGAAAGACACTTCCCTTTTTTGAAGCCCAGTGGCCCTGCCTCCTTACTTAATCTTAATCAAGTATCTTAATCAAGTAGGCGCCTACTTGATTAAGTAAGGAGGTAAGCTAGTACAACTGGACACAGGACTCAGGCGGGGGGAGCTTCCTTGAAGAAGCGCTCGCACTAATCATTTGGTTTCTAGATCTTTTTGGCGAAGCTTAACAACACGTTTGCTTTGCTTTCTTTTTGAACAGCGCTGCAAGGAGGAGTACAAAAAGGCAGGGAAGAAAAACTGGACACTCAAGAAGTCCTCGGCTTAGTCCAATGATTCACGGTCTTCGCTTGAAGTTGGCTTCCCTTATAACCTTCTGCACATTTGGTCACGGAGCTTAGGTTTACCAAGAAGGAGTCTGCTCCTTGGAAAGCGGCAGTGGCCAGTGCGAAGAAACTTCTTCACAAGAAATCACGAGTTCACCCTGCACTGTTCATGCTCTCCGTGGTGGGATTCTCAGCTGCTGTGATCAATGTTTGAGAGCCTCAACAGGAACGTGACAAGCTAGAAAGCCCACTCCTTGCCAATCACCGAACGCTTCTCATCTACCACCATTTCTTCATTGAATGCCTTTGCATTTTCTTTGGGATTGCAACAGTGATAAGCATGGGTTTGTTCACGTTTGTTGCTTTTCTTCTGGCGAAGTTCCCAATGCGTAGGTCAAAAACCAATTCGAACTGTAGCCCCACATCCCGCAGGTTGGAAAGGAGCTGTATGATGCAACACAGGCACTCTATACGCAAAAGCCAACGAGGACTACGATGAAAGCCATGAAGGCGATGAAAGCAATGAAGGCGATGAAAGCCATGAAATGATTGCTAGCCCGGCTGCATTTGCCTCCACCCGAACTACAAAACCAGACAGTGCACAAGCTTCAGCATTTGTGGCTGATCGCTTTGCACACGTGCCATGTTGTTCTCGTGCGGGAACAGCTCAGCACGATAGAGTAGAGTAGAAGGACTTCTAGTGACTTCCGTTTGGAGGTCTTGATGGTGAGGATTTGCAAACGCAGATCATGTTCCAACGGTACAATGTATAACTGGGAATTCCTCAAAGAAGGAAGAAACAAAAAGAATAGTGAAGTGAAGGGCAGTTGTGGCCGCACAATCTTTACAAACAACCTGTGTGCACCACACCTGGACTGCAAGAACTCCTTAAGTCAGGCTTCATTGGCAAGACTTTGAAGTCAGGCTTCAGCCAAAAGTAAACCTCGAGCTCGTTCTGGTTCTGTTAGTGGGCAGCCGGCTCAAGTGGTGCGAAGTGCGGATCTCAGGATTGCTTTTGGCCTAAGTATGTGGCATTTGGACTGACTATACTAGGCTGAAATGACAAAGGACTTGTGAAAACTACCTCCAAATTGCGGCGGCTAAGTCATGAAGGTTTAGCCTACCCCCCACAAGTATTTATGTCATGAAGCAAAAGCTTGGAAAAACCTCAAAATCAGAGATGCCAGAGGTTGTCACCAAAGATCCTAAAAACAGTTGATTTTATATTGACAAGCATCATGACATACGACTTTGGTATCTAAACAATGAATAAACCATCGAGAGATAGGAATTTGAGAGCAAAAAAGCACAAAGGCAGACTTAAATGAGATAGTAATGTGTTCTTAATGAGACAGGACAGGATTCCTAAGTCCCAAGTGGCCTAAGTCATCTCACCCTAATCTTCCAGGAGCATGCCCCCCACCAACCCCCCCCCCAAAAAAAAAAAACTCAGGACCAGGTCAACAAGGCCTATGTCATGAGTGTGTGCCAATGAAATTGCAAATTTAACATTTGTACATGACTTAGGACTTGCCCTGGGAAAGTTGTATGTCATTTCGACCCAATTGGCCTAAGTCATCTCACCCTAGTATATATTACTATATATTTACAATTATCTACATACTATATATACATATATATATATACACATACAGTACGCACACATATATTTAGCTCTTAGTAGTATGATGATATTCTTTATTAGCTCAAAGCTCAGCTTCTGGGAAAGGGAGAGCCAGAGTCTTCTTGTCAATCAAGCTGAGGCCAAGAAAGCGAAGCTTCCACAATTTGCAAGGAATAGGTCTCCTTGATTTCAGGAGCTTGTGCCAAATTGGAGTCCTGTTCCCTGCTCCAGAATGGCAATTTCAAAACAAACAGCCCTTTGCAAGGTCCAAAATGGACCAGGAGGAGCTTTCGGTTGACAGTTGTCGTTTAGCCTTTGCTAAATCTCATCACATATTTGTCTCACCAGATCTTGAACAAAATTGGAGATGAAATGACATTGCTCACTTTGCTGAAACGGTTGAACTTTCTTGCAGCTTGTAAAGCACTTATCCTCCTCCTTGTAGCTATATGCAGAAGACGACTCATTAACCTCGACGTCCCAATGACCCCCAAACGGACAAAAGGGACAAAAGCAAGAACAAGAAGCTACTAGGGGCTCCTGGCATCGCTACTAGGACCAGGAGCAAGGACGCTACTAGGGGCTCCTGGCCGTACTACTAGGAGCAATGCTCGCTACTAGGAACAAACCTGTTCTCCCTCGGTCCTTTGGTCTTGGCGTGGACACTTCGACAGGTCCGCCTCTGCCCAGTCCGCTACAGTCCGGTCTGGAGGTACTGATGTGAAGTGCGAAGCGTCACCGTGAATGTGCTTGACGCCAGGCTTCCTTGGCTGGTTGTTTGAAGAGCCATCTGGAGAGGCATCGAATGACAGACAATGAGTTTTCCCTTCCAATGAACGCAACATCTCAAGAGAAATAGAAACACGGAGAAACATTCTTAGACACTGTAGCTTCAATCTGCTTCTGTTCCGCAAGGTCATCACTAAGGCTGCCCCCTGTGCCCAATGCAGCACCATGTCTGCATTGCTTGCGAAGTTTCCAGCAGCAGAAGAGCTTTGTCAGGTGCGAATTGTCATTTCTGCATCAGAGGGATGGGATGGAACACTTGATATGTTGCGATATTGTGTGATTAAATGCCTACATTGTCAGCACAACATTGTAGGGTCAGCAGGGCATCGACATGCCTGACCAGAAGGTTTGAGATCGTCGGGAAGTTTGTAAGCTGAGAATTTTTGAAACTATCCATGGATGATGTAGATGGCGAGGCCTCAAGCTGGCAAGAGATTGTTTTTGCATCCAAGGGCTCTTACCACAAGTGATAACAAAGCCTCCAGCAGCTCACACCGCAGAAAGGAGTCAGACTGGTTGGAGTTTCGGAGGCACTGACTCACAACTACTTCATAAACCAAGGATGCCCAAAGGGCACGAACACACAGACTTAGAAACTGGATCAGATTCGGTGGAGAAACAAGCTGTGAAGTGAAAGAAGCACGCGATGCCAATGGACAGAAATGCAGGTGAAAGCCTTGTTTTAAGCACGAACAAGCAGATGCCACAAGGAAGGACCTTTGGAAGCACACCGATGAACTGCAGATGAAGTGAGCCTCATGGTCCAATGCGGAGTCAATGCTTCGGCAACAAAAAGAGCATCAGAGGATGACTAGGCAATGCCACTAGGTTTGCCAGGAATCACTAGAGCTGCAACTTGATGCCTCAGGGCACCGGAACACCTGCCACACCGGAACACCTGCAACTGTTGACATAGATGTTTTGAGGGTTTGGCTGGGGCGGCTGAGTAGGGAACTACGGGTTGATAAGCAGGTAGGCCAAGGAGTCAACCAAGAACACCTGACGATGCAGGCCAAAGACCTTGAATTACATCAAATGCTGGAGCAAAGAGGCGTGGCTTACCCGAGACATGGTGCGGCTTTAAGGAACATGGTGCCGATGATAAGAACTATGTAGTTCAACTCAACCAATTCAACACTGGGTTCCAAGTGGAAGCAGACGCTCCAAGGCCCCAACAGTTCTTCGGTGCTGCGACTCTTGATGGCTAGTTGCCCACTTGTGCTGCAGTCGCTTGAGAGGCGAAGAGACATGCTGTGCTGTGAGGGAGAACACACACACACACATATATATGTTTTCAATGAATCAATCAACATCTCTGGCTGAAGACACTTAGAGTGCTTAGAGTCCGCTTGCACAATACAAGACGATCAAGACAACCTGGGGCGCCACAGGCCTGAGCAGCAACTTGGCCTGATCACTGGGCCAAGGGTGCTGGAGTTGGCCGTGCTGCAGGCGGCAAGATGGAAACAGCAAGAACACATCGGGACCATCCCAGAACAATCCTTCATCGTCTTTGTGGTCTATATTTGACTTCATGCGTATCAGCCAAGGAAAGCAAGTCGTGTGGATGTACAGTAGTTTTGACAATTTGTTAATTGCAATCCCAAGTAATTGTCTGTCTCAGGCGGCACCTGCACAGGAAGCTGTCTTTCGCTGCCGCCGGAAGCAGTTTGGCAGCAGCTTTGGTCTCCACGGCAGTCCTCTGCGAAACTGGTAGCGTGCTCAGTCGACTTCTTTGTCGAGAGGTCGAAAAATGTCCAATCACGCAAAGGGAGTGACACTGCTTGATGCCCAAAGCTCAGCATGCCTTCTCAGCTGGCTTGCTGTGCTGACTTGAAGCAGTTTGAAACAAGTGTCCAGCCCTGCCCAGTTGTCATTCACGCCCTCTTCCCAGAAACGAGTGCCGTTGTCATCCCGATCCCGAAGAAACTCAGAGAGAATCAGTGCTGCGCTGCAGTTGTGAGGTATTCGATCATGCGCAATGGCCTGCGGATCCTCTCTCACACCGAGCTGATGGGAAGTGGCGCTCGATTTGGGCCAGGCTGAGTGACTGGATCAGAGATGGGTACATCCAAATGCCCTGGCAGCCAGAGAGACTTCAAAGGTCGTGCAACCGTGCTTGATGTGCTTCTTTGGGCTTGAAGCCCCATGCTCATGCTTGACATGCAGGTGTTTACCTGGCAGACAGAGTGTCGACGGCACAGCACTATTGTGCTGGCTTTGCAGGAAGCCGCTACAAGAACAAGCTTGGCGAGGCAGTGTGTCGTTGAACAGAGGAGCTGCAGATGTGGACGATGTGGACTAGAGACCGCCCACAAGACCACAAATACATGACAGTTGCTCTCCTTCATGTTTGCATGGCTCTGAGTCGCTGGGAATCGCCTGCTAGGCTCTTCAAATTCTGGCGGTGGTCGAGTACATTAAGGACCCTGCTGCGCATCAAGCCCATAGCGAGGGCATCACCACAGTATCGGATGCCAGCGTTGGGAGCTTACCGAGTTCGTGGCCAGCGTGTGGGTGGCCTCACAAATCCGAAGAATCCCCTCAGCACCAGCTGTGAGAAAACTCAAGGCAGTCATGCTGCGTTACTTGTTGGTCTATGGCAGCGCCCCCAGTCTTGACCATCCGAAACTGGGAAGACAATGACCGCTGAAACCAAAGACCCCAAATTGGCGCTCGGAAGTGTCAACCAAACACGTTCATTGTTTATGTATACCCATTATACGTTGGACCAAATGCAAGTTTCAGGTACAATCAAGTAGCGGCAAAAAGCAGTTGTTGATGTTGGAATGGACTTAAGTGCTGACTGTGCTGACTTTGAGGTTTGTCCAGCCACATTGTTGTAGACAAGCTGGACGAAGCAGAGGTCAACACATTTGGCACCAATGAAAACAGAAAAAATCCTGCGAAAGAGAATTCAGCAATGTGAGCAGCGATGCTCGTTGTTTCTCTACAAAGAGATAGAATTCCATAGTCACCAGCGCAACTCCACTCAAAGCTCCAGACACAGCACGAGAAAGCACAAGCAGAGATCTTTAGCAGTGCTAGACAGTTTACAGCCATGACGTACTTTGGTATGATTATGATTAAACTAAGTGCTACGCTTTATCTCCTAGGTTACTCCTTTACTAGGCCATGTGGCGGTGGTGGTTGTCACGCTTTGCTGGTCTTGCGACATCGAGCCACCTGTACAGGTGAAGCGGCGCTGGACACGGCTTCTGGATTTAAAAGCACCGAGTGCTTTGATGCTCGTTCGTTGTTGGACTACCACTTGTCTCGCATGCTTTGGGAGCTTGCGTTTTGGGAGTAGTAACATAAATCAAAATCATAAATAAAGACTTTGCAAGACCTGAATGTGCGTTGGCCTCCATAATCTAGGATTCGAAGCGCAACAATTTAACAATCAGGAGCAACAGTGATTATCCATGTCAGTCGACACGACATGATGCCTCACCATGGCATTTTGCTCTGGCTCCCATACTATGAAAGCGTTGGCTCTGAGTCCAAATTTTTGGGCACACACTCGGCACGGAGCGGGCTTTTCAGCCTACCCGTGGAGGTGGCTTGCAAATTTCCCGTCTCATTCGCCTTTCCTCCCAGAACCGGCCTTTGTGAGGACGCCCATGGTTCTTGAATTGCCAGACTGGCCGGCCTGGGCTAGTCGAACCTTTTTGGTCTTAGCACCTTGATTGCATCAGATGGATCCATTTGCACACAGTTCTTTTTCTCCACCTGGGTCCTCTTTTTTTCTGCTTTTTGTGAGGCCGCAATCACCTCCTTTGTGGCCATCGGCGAAAGAGTTGCCTCAAGGAGTAGCGATGGCAAGGCGAGGCTGCGAGAGGAGTCGATGGCCTGCAACCTAATAGCGCCCGTGCCGTCCTGACTGGATCCACCCGACCTGTGTACCCGCATTTGGGCGTCCAAATCCGGTGTGAGGAATTCGGCTTTCGCCCTGAAATGAGAATTCCTCCTTTAGTATCCTTTAGTAACATACTCGCTCTGGCGGCTCTTGTGCCAACCAGGTAAGGCACAAGGTCTGCTTTTTGCAGTCCTTCAGGAGGAGGAAGAGAAGCCCAGCGGTGAGAAGCTTGCAGAGTTCCGGTCATTCCAACGGCAGTGAGCTTCACCAGCCAGAACTCTGGAAACAAATGAAACAAACAGTTGAAGAGAGAGATACAGGTAGTTTGCACGTGCTTGAACAGATCCTTCCGTCAGCGTGAGAGGTACCTCACAGTCTACACTATCATCATGGGTGCAGACTGGCTGCAGGCACCCTCAGAAGTTCCAGACTTCGTTTCCACACTGAAGCTGCCAAGGGTACGAACATGTACACGCTCTACCAAAGCTACAACGTAGATATCAGCACCTTGTTCGTGACTGGTTCCAGTCTTAGCGCTCTCAGCATCCGGAGCTAGGGCATGTGCTTTGGATGCTCTCAGATCAAGCACCTGGTAGGTTTTACCTCATCGGCAATTTTCGGGACGATCGTCGGAATGCGCCTCGGCATGAATTTTAGACATACTGCCAGGCTCCGAGCCCTTTTTCCTCAAACAGTTAGACACTGGCCACAGTCTGTCCCCTTCTTGTCTGCAAGTTGTCCGCCTGGAGTCCTTCTGCTGCCCTTTAGCCATGCTTGCGAACTTTCTGTCCTTTTTTCCTTCTTCTGTCCTCTTTGTTTTCTGCCTTGTTCGGGCTTGTCCAGGCATTGTCCACTGCGCTGCTGCGGGCCCTGCGTTGTCCTTGTCCAGGCTTTGTCCGGGTCTGCTTGGCTGCACCGTCGGCCCTTCTACCACCGCCTTGCCCAGGCCTTATCCCCCCCTTGGCCGGCTATGAATACAACAGTGATGCAGCGTTTCAAGATTGATACCATCTTCGGATGTTCTCATGATATAAATCCCTTCGTTTTGCACATATGATGCATTTTTGTTTCAAGCAATGCCATTCACAAACAGCTGAAACCTACAGTATAGCAATACAAGTACAGACGTTACCACCAACATTGGATTTCAAGGAGTTGACGCAAAAGAATGCTGAAACTGTCTGGGGTCTATGCTGGCATAATCAGATGTACGGAGCACCAGGTACGTCGACATTTGGGGCCGCAAGCTTGGGTGCATCGTGTACCTCATCATTGAGGCAAGACTTGGCAAATGAATTGGGAAGGTACTGCGAGTGCTTCCACAGGTCTTTCCAACATTATCCGAATCCTTATTCTTGTTAAGAGTTGGAGTATTCACGTCGCTTCGCGACGGTAACCGCCCGCACCGCATGGAAGGGGCCAATATTTCCACCGAACATAGCCCCGGAAGTGCCCCCCCCCTCCCCAACGTGGCCGAGCATAGATTCCATGTTTCGAGATAGGGATTTAACATGGCCCAACGTGTCAGGCAATATGAAAGCTATGTTTGGCCACGTTAGGGGGTGTTTTTTATTCCAGTTTACGACGTTCAAGTCCCTATCTCGCAGACACTACCTTTAGATAGTGACTTCTAGGGCTATGTTAGGCTATCTTCACTCTATTCCAGTCCCTTTTGAGCCTTCGTTGGGCCATGT